CCGGTGCCCAGCCCCATGGAGCCTGCTCCTGAGAACACCCCGCCCCCAATCCAGGGCTCCTGTGCTCACCTGCTCTGGCGTCAGGTCCCGCTGAGCCTGCGCCAGCATCTCGTAGCCCACCATGAACTTGCGGACAGCGGCCGAGCGGAGGAGAGGCGGGTAGTAGTGGGCGTGAAGCTGCCAGTGCCCACAGTCTGCTCCCAAGTGAGGCCCCGTGGGGGCGCCTGCCAGACACAAGCCCACCAATGATTCCAGGTACCGGTCACAGGACAGACTCCGCTCACGTGGCCTCCGAGCGGGCACCGTGACCGGCTGAGGCTGGATTTGAACCGACAACCCCACATGCCAGTCCCCTGAGCCACCCGGTGCCCCGACTTGCCCCGCACTCGCCTCCCCGTACCCTTCCAGACACGTACCATGCCAGTCCCCTGAGCCACCCAGTGCCCCAACTTGCCCCACACTCGCCTCCCAGTGCTCCCCCCCAGCCCCATACCATGCCAGTCCCCTGAGCCACCCGGTGCCCCGACTCGCCCCGCACTCGCCTCCCTATGCGCCCCCCCAGCCACATACCATGCCAGTCCCCTGAGCCACCCGGTGCCCCGACTTGCCCCGCACTCGCCTCCCCGTGCCCCCCCCAGCCACGTACCATGCCAGCCCATCGAGTAGGGGAAGGAAACCTCAAAGAGGTTGTCGTACTTGGTGAGGAGCCTTTTCATGATGGAGGCCAGACCTGCAACACAAGAACAGCGAGTGGTCAGTCACCAGCCCTAACCCAACCCGCTCCCAAGCCCTCGGCCCACCTGGGGGCACAGATAACAGGAGGGTCCTTGGCACAGATGGGGAGAAAAGCACAAAAACTCTTCCCTGGATCGCAGCTGGGCACAGGCAGAATCTCACTCCCCGCCTGTGAGGCAGCTCGGTGCCCAGGCGGCGACCCAGTCAGCAGGGACTTGCTCTCCAGAGCTCACGTTCCAAGCCAGAGCTCACATCAGTCCGACCCCTCAGCCTGGGCGCCCACCCCGGGGCAGGGGCAGTTTGGGTCGCAGCTCTGAAGGCTGCTACTATGGAAACAAGAACTGGGCGTTGACTCTGGAACCTAATGACAACGCAAACACCAATGCCATTAACTACTTTACTGCGGGTCAGAGCTTGCAAGGGAGAAGAGGGATCGTGTCACTGATTGGTTGGATACAGAGGGCGCCTCATTCTGGCACTGCTTGAGAAGGGAACGCTGCTCATCCTCCCTTCCCACCCACCAACCTAACCCCTGGTTCAAACTGCTCCAGCGCCTCTGGGGTGGAGGCCAAACCACCCCCCTACTCTGCACAGCCACTCCTTCCTAAGTGCCTCTGGGACAGGGGAAGCTGCCCTGAGGTTAACCCCTTGTTCACCGGGGGCCAGGCAGTGCCCCTGCCCCAGCCCAGGGTTTGCCCAGATTCCAAGGCCAGATTGTGCTCATCTAGTCTGCCCTCCTGTGGAACACAAGCCTGGAACTGCCCCATAGTAATCCCTAGAGCAGATATTTTGGAAAAATACCCAGTTTTGATTTTAAAATGGTTAGTGATGGAGACTACCACAACCCTGGGTAAATTGTTCCAGTGGTTAATTGCGCTCACTCTTAAAAATGTACGCCTTGATTTCCAGTCTGAATTTGTCTGGCTTCAACTTCCAGCCATTGGATCGTGTTCGACCTGCCTCTGCTGGACTGAAAAGCCCATTGTTAAATATTTGCTCCCCATGTAGGTACCTAGAGACTATAATCAAGTCACCCCATAACCTTCTCCGTGAGTCTCTCACTGTAAGGCCGGTTTTCCAATCCTGTCATCTTTCTCATGGCTCTTCTCTGAACCCTCTGCAATTTATCAACATCCTTCTTGGATTGTGGGCTCCAGACCTGGGCACAGGATTCCCGCAGCGGTGGCACCAGTGCCAAAGACAGATGTAAAATTACTTCTCTGTTCCTACCTGAGATTCCCATTCATGCCTCCCGGGATCGTGTTAGCTCGTTTGGCCACAGCATCACACTGGGAGCTCATAGTCACCTGATTATCCACCATCAACCCCCAATCTTTATTAGCATCACTGCTTCCTGGGAGAGAGTCCCATTTCCTGGAAGCACGGCCGACATTCTTTGTTCCCCGGTGGATTCATTTCTATTTAGCCATATTAAAACGGAAGCATATTGTTTGCTCGATCCAGATGGCTCTGTACCAGCGACCTGCGCGCTTCGTTATTCACCTCTCCCCCAGTCTGACACACATCTGCAAACTTCCCAGAGCCCCGGGACCTGGCACACTGAGCCACCTGCCCTCAGCACAGTGTCAGCGCCCCCCACCTCCGCGTCTAGTGGGCTGAACACCGGCGTCCTACCTGCCTGCCCTAAGTTCTATTCCTCATGGTCAGCGAGTTGGGACATACACCAAGCACCAGCCCAAGCCTGGCTCTGGAAGCTTCTCATGAGCGTCATGGCACCACGCAGGGACAAGCATGGGGCACTCAGCCGCCCAGCAGCCCCACATCCTGAGCCCGGCTCCGCACAGAGCACCTGGGCAACTGAGTAACAAGAGCTGCCCTCTGATCCCTCGTGGTGGGCACACTGCCGGAGCTGCTCTGCCACGCTCCAGAACCCCCACTTCTGATTTCATGCCTTGCAAGAGAAGGAAATGAGAACGGGGGCGGGGGTGAGAGCAGCTGGGGGGAGGGGCCAAAGGACATTCTACCCCTGCTCCAGGCTCCTCCCCATGGTGCGTGGAGCAGGGGTGGGTGCATGCGGCAGTCGGCCCCAGGGCAGAGCATGCAGGGGGGGCGGGGGGGGGGCATTTCCGCCCAGGGGCCAGGACGGGGCAGCCACTTACTGTCTCTCTCGCCGTCGCTGAGCTCCTGGAGGCGGCAGACGTGACGGCGGGGCAGGAGCAGGGTCTGGAAAGGCCACACGGCCCAATAGGGGACCACCACCAGCCAGTCCGCGTTCTCCACCACCAGCCGCTCCTGCGGGGCACAGCGCACCGTGCTGAGGGGCTGCAAAGCTAGTACCGCCAGCCCTGCCCAGGCACAGTGAAGCCAGGGGCACCGGGGGCAGGACCCAGGGGCGCTCCCAGGCCTCTGCCCCGTGAGCTAGGGCAGATCTCCCTTGCTGGCAGCAGTGGCAGGCGCTTTGAGCTCCCTGCGCACCCCGCGGCAAGAGGGGCTCACACACACACCGAGCTCTCTGAGCCCCACCGCAGGGGGAAGCTAATCTTAGGAGAAGGGGCCTTGCTTAAAAGGAGTCCAGACCTGGTCCCAGCAGGATCTAGAGTTGCTCCCCTCCCCGCTGCCTCTTGAGTGAGCCATGACCACCCCCAAACGGAGCCAACGCCCCCGCCCGCAGGCCGCTACCTTCCTCTGGGCCTCCAGCCGGGCGTACTCCAGCAGCAAGGGCACGCCGCGCTCCTGGAGGTGCTGCCGCTGCGTCCGGTCCTCCAGCCGGGCTTCGTTGGGGAGGAAGTTACTGGCCCAGACCTGGGGGGGGGGGGGAAGAGTCGCTGAAAGGGAGCAGCTGAGGCACAGCGTGAAGCGATGGGGTGGCTCTGCAGGGTGCAGCGGGGCTCCACGCAGCGGGCGCCAGTGGGGACAGCAGAGACCCCCAGCTGTGGTGCCAGAGCGCCACCTGCCTGCAAGAACAGGGCTGAGCACCTGGTGCCCTGCTACTTCCCTACTCCCTTCCCGTGCCCGGCAGAGTCCCCTCCCTGATTCTGTGACACCCCCCCCCCCCCCCCCCCATGGGCCGACAGGCAGGGACGGGCGCGTCTCAGCAGGGAACCGAGCCCAGCTCTTCCCCCACCACCCAGCTGCCCCATCTCCAGGGCTCAGCCCCTCCCTGGCCTCACGGCCACCGAGGGGGCCAGTCAGCACGTGCCCTGATGGTGGGTTCTGCAAGGTGGAGACCCACCAACCCCTGCCATAGCCATCGGGTGGGACTGACAACATCCCCATGGCACAGCTGGGGGTGGGGGCACAGCTGGGTGGTCTCAGAACAGCCCCTCCCCCAGGGCTTCAATCCATCTAGTTTAGATGCCTCGAGTGATGACGCTCCCGCCCAGCAGGCAGGACAGGGACCATTCCTCAGCCTGACCCCGCTCACCGCAGGGATGTTTTCCTGTGAACAGCCTCAACTTCCTCCCTCTAAATCTCAGCCGGTCCCTCTGCGCTGCCCCCTAGGATCCCCCAGAAACTAGAGTCAGATGTTGGGGCCACAGCGACCGCTGGGATCTGTTCAGTCCTCCTGCATAACCCGGGCCGGAGAGCCCCGCCCAGAGATCCCCACGTCCAGCCCAACAGCATGTGATGAGCTGGAGTGGAAATCTGAGAGGGAGACCCCAACTCTCCATTGGAAGCACCCCCCCCCCCCGTCTGTAGAGCCACTGGCCCCATGGCTCATCACCCACTCCTCGAGACTGGTGCCTTGTCTGGCCTCAGCTTCCAGCCCTTGGAACTTGTTCTGCCTTTGACTCAGATAAAAGAGGCTCTCCCGCGTAGGCACTCACAGCCCACGAGCCAGCCAGCCCGTATCCTTCCCTTCAATAAGATTGAGCTCTGCAGGTGTCTGTCTGGCACCTTCCCGTGACCGTGACGGGCCCCACACTCTGCCATTCCTGGAGGTCTGTGTGACTGATGCTCCCCGAGCTGTCACGCGGCCAAGCCTGGCACATTCCCTCTGCTCATCTCCTCCCAACCCCCTTGATCAATGGCTCTTCCCTGGCCTCCCTCCAGCTCATCACCAGGTAAGAAGAAGCCAAGCCCTGAACAAACTCCGCAGCCCCAGCCCTAGCGCTGAGGCCCTCCCCACACAGTGCCCCTCTCAGCGTTTCACCTGAGTCACTGGACTCAGCCCATCTGACGACGGGAGATCTGAGAGCTGGGGCCAGCCCCTCGGGACTGGGTGGCTCCTGCACCAGAGACAGAAAAGCTGCCCCCATTCCGTGACCCTTTCTACACGGGGTGCCTGTTGCCGTAGCCTCCAAGGGTGCCCGACACCCACCTGTGCTGAACTGCGGCCGGCCAGAGCTGCAGGGAGCATCTCAGCAGCCCAGCATGAACCCTGCTTGGGGGCTGTAACCGAGGAGATTTCTATGCGCACAGAGGGGCTCGAGGTGGGATCTTTAGATGCCGTTTGCCAGGCAGGGCTGCAGTGGACACCTCACCAGCAACAGGGCCCCAAGGCATCCTGCCCATGGAGGACTGAGGGCACCAGGAGCAGATGACAGCAGACCCTACAGTGGTTAAGGTGTTTCCCTGGGCACTCTCCCCCCTCTAGGGAGCTGGCATCACCACTCCTCATGGGGGGACTCCACTGGCTCCCTGGGCAGGTGCAAATGGCACATCCCTCACCCCTGGTGGAGCTCCAGAAGTCTCTCCCCACACAGCTAGCATGGGGCTGGGTTCCCAGTCCACAGGGAGGGCCGAGGCAGAAGGTGGCACCAGTGGGCCCCCAGGGAGGTGTGGGGGGCAGGGAAGCCCACCCTGCCCCTGCAATAGCCGGCAGGGCTACACTAAGGGCTGACGCTAGCCAGAGCCGGAGGGACAGCTTTGGAAGCTAAAGGGTCTCTCGCTCCCAGCTGTATCCTAAGGGCGGAGGCATCAGCAGCTCTCTGGGAGCGCCAGGCAGGATTGCTTCACATGCTCCCAAGTGGACGGTACAATCCCCCCCTCAAACCGCTCTAGGATTCGGCAGCGGCCTCCCAGCACCCTGTGGTGGCACAAGGTTAGGAGAGGGATGGATTGGGGAGTGGCTCAGAGAAAGCAGACCCTGGAATGGCCAGGAGAAGCAGCCATTTGCAGGTTTATGCTGCCACCTGATGGTGAAATTGTGATCTACAGCCACACGGGGCAGCTCCCGTATTAACAAGGGAAGGTTGAGACTAAACAGCCAAAAATATATAAGGCCGGGGTGGGGGGGAGGAGGGAAGGGAGTTGCTCTCAATGAGAAAAGTATTTTTTGAAGATGGACAGCAAAGAGGTTTCAGATTTTTACAAGGTATCTGGTTTCCCCTCAGTTTGCTTTCAACCAGCAATCGTGCGCACTTCCAGGGTTTGGTCATTGTAGGGTCCCTCGCAGTGGCTATGAAGTTCTATTAACTCCTTTCTAGTTACTGCTACAGCTGCCCCCCCCCCCAAAACAAAACAAAACAGGAAGAATCGGGAGTGTTTTGTGGGAGGGGAACACAACACGTGGCCCACAAATGAGACCAGATCTTCAGCTGGCACGAAGAGGCACGCCCCTTTGAAGTCAAGGTAGGTAAGTCAAGATCTACACCGGGTAGGGATCAACCCACAAAAAGTTACCTGGGCATCCAGACAGTTTAGGAGGAGCAAATGGGAAGGTGCATTTATGGGCCACCCAATCTTAGTGGACCCCCATTGGGTCAGGGTTAAACAGCTCCAATATCGGAAGGAACAGAGAGGATTGTACTTGTGAGATTAGGGCAGTCCCTCGGCTGGGCTGTCAGTGGCCGGGACCAAGGAGGTTGAGGGAATCCCGAGTTCGGTTCACTTTGCCCTGGTGACACTGGCCCTTTTCTTTTCGCCCTGCCCTGGGTTTGGACAGGGAGACGGCACTGGTCAGTTTCACTTGGCAGCTAGTCAGTTTCACCGCCCCCAGGGTGCACTGAACTAGCTGGGTGCTGTCACCTCTGGCTCTCAGCGGGAGCGAGAGGCTGAACCAAAACCTGGTCAGGAAAGTGACCGTGCAAAACGGCACCACCTGACACAATGCTCAGCCCATCGCCCCATGCAGGAGGCAGGTCCCTGGGCAGAGGAGCTTGCAATCAGGTCAAACCTCCACCAGCCCAACTGCAGGATCGGGGCCCTAGATGATGGACTTGACTGCCAAGTGAGACCAGACCCGACACAAGGAAATGGGAAGCACTGGGGAGGAGGCAGACATGGGTTAGGAATCAGACTCCGTGGCTAGACCTGCGTTGCTGTCTGGGCAGCTCAGATGTCCGAGGGAGAAGTTTTAAACACTCATTTGATGAAGGAGACGCTACAAGAGTGATCTAAACATTGCAAAGCTGGGGGCTCTGCCCGCAGGGCTCACAAGAGTCGCTTTTCAGAGAAGATCACGGGAGGAGCAGGAGGGTGCCGGGACACCCCTTCCCCTCCCCATAACACAACCCACCCATGGCGCAGTCCCCAGGGCACGAGCAGCCAGCTCCCTTACCTGGCAGTGAGGGTGAGGGTTGGAGCAGCCCATCATGGCCCCTTTGTTCTCAAATATCTGCAGAGAGAAGGGAAAAGAAGCTCTCGGGACTATTCTAACATCAGCTGGCAGCAGCTGCTGGCAAGGAAGCACAGCCTAGCAGTTGGAGCACTGCCCTGAGAATCTGGACTCCATGGTTCTATTCCCTCCTCTGCCACTGAACGGCCTTTGCAAGTCACTCAGCCGCTCGGAGCCTCAGTTTCCCTATCAACCACTTGGGGGGTGATACTGACTGGCCTCTGGGCGGAGCGGTTCAACGCACAGATGTAGCGAGATTCTGAGACCCCGGGGGGATAGGGAAGGAGGCCGGCCAAGCTCAGTGGGGGCACTGCAGAATCCCTTTGCAGCTCCAGAGCAGACTCTTCCACACGGGCAGAGGAAGGTTCTCTCTCCTTAGACCCTGGAAGTGCACATGGCCAATGGAGAGGGGAGCCCTGAGTGCGTCTCTGAGCCAAAGGCAGTGGTCTCGCAGCACGGGGAAAGCCTCAGGCTGTGAGCGAGGGGGTGAAGGGACCCGGGCACCAGTGAATCAGTGAGGACCTGGAGGAAGGCAGGTCTGGCTTTCCAAACAATTAGGCACAACGGCCAGACGGCAGCACCACTCTGGCTGGGAAACAAAGCTGGTGACGTCGCAGACGCTCTGCCCAGCGCAGACCATCGGGGGCAGGTGGGGAACGGCAGGGGCAGGAGAAGGTCACAACACGCCCGCTACCATTTTGCACTTCTAGAGGCTCTCAGCAGCGCCCGGCGCTGCACCAGCATTAATGGATTTGGCCTCACAACCAAGCCCTGGCAAGGTAGGGGTTATTCTCCCAATTTTACAGGTCTGGAAACTGAGGCACAGAGCCGTTACACAGGTGAGCCAATGGACTAGAACCCAGGAATCCTGGCTCCCAAGTGCTCTGCGCTCACTGCTAGAGCCCACGTAACGGCAACAGCGCCCCCTGGCTACGCAGAGCCTCACCCCAAGTTGGAGGAAAGTCATTCAGAAACTAACTCCTTGCCGCAGGTGGAGAGCACTGAATGTCACTCAGAGACACACATATCCAGGCACATCACAACCTGCAGCATGGTGTGAGGAGCTGCCAGCCGTCTGATCCCGCCAGGCCTGTGTGCATGTGCCTGGAGCCTGCGCTCCCCTCAAACACCCCTAGAGGGTGCAATGCATCTACGGGGGGTTGGCTTGCCGCTGCCCACGCTGCACCCCTACAGGGCCTTTGCCCACCGCTGCACTGGGGGTGTGGGTGTGGGGCACTGACCTGTACCCAGGGATAAGAAGCACCCAGCTCCACCGTGAGCTCCGCCCACTTGTCAATCACTGCCCGGATCTCTGCCAGCGACATGAGCGGCAGTGTCAGGTCAGACCAAGGATGGAAGCACATGACCTTGCTGCGAGATGGGAGGGAGAGAGAGACGGCTGTGAGTGCATGAGCCCTGGGGGTGGGGGGGAAGGTGTCTCCCCCTCACTACCACCACCCCCCAGCTTCCCAGACCCCCCCAGGAGGGCTGCAGGGCATTGACCTTTGCAGTGCCAGCAACCCAGTCCCACAACAAGCGATCACTGCAGCTGGCACTCAGCCCCCAGCCCCACCCCAGGCAGACTCAGCAGAGAGGCCGTGGTCTGAACAGGCCACGGAGACTCAGCTCCCCCACCATCGCCGCCCGGGATGGCCCCAACACTGCCCAGCACGAAGACAGGTCTCCGGCCCCTTTCACAGCACCCCCAGGTTCCTACACACCCAGAACAGCGGGTCTGAGCCCAAGCGATGGAGATGCTGGGTTGTTTGCCAGCGTTTCTATGGGGCCCGTCTTCAGCAACCATGAATCTCAGCCTCGCAAGCCCACGTCCCCCCGCACCCTGGGAGCAGCGGGTACGACAGTGGCACTGCCCCTATTTAACAGGGCCCAGAGAGGGCAGGTGACTTGCCCAGGGTCACCAGCAGGTCGGTGGCAGAGCCAGGGCTAGAACCTGGGAGCCAGCAAGGGGCTGCAGGGTGAAGGAAACAGCTTCCAAATGCCCCGCAGCATTAACCCCCCCAGGGACAGCGCCGCCGTGTGCTTCTCCTGCCAGGACCCAGCTGGAGGCGACAGGGGACAGGAGACATGCTCGGGAGGAGAACCAAAGCCAAAGGCAAGAAAAGCGTCCATACAGAACGCCCCCCTCCGCAAGTGTCCCAAGGACGCGTGCCGTGTGCCACCCCTTCCAATCCGAAGCCAGGAACCAGGCAGGTTGAGGGCCGGGGCCAGCTAGAAACCCTACCGAGCTGCAGGGCCCCAGAGCAGCCGCAGGGATAACACTGCTCCCTCATTCTGCTCGAGCACGGCATCTGACATTAGATCCCTAAGTGATGAATGGCCCCAGCCGAGGCCTCTAGGCTTCATTTACCAAACTCCTCGGGCAGATGCAGCTCGGAACAAGGGGTGGTTACAGGCATCTGGAGAAGGAGAGAGAGGAATGAGCCAGAGATGGACAGAGATGGGAACAGCGAAGGGAAGGGATGAGCAGCACCAGCCCTACACTAGCGCAGTGCCAGCATTACTTGCCCAGCTCCGCCGACGCCCCTCAGTCCCGACCCGCAGCCTCTCCTGCTACGCCAGCTCAGAACTCCCCCTGCACATGTAGCCCCACTGCTGCCCCTCGGTCCCAACCACAGCTCCAGCCCCGGGCCCCGACTGAGACAACACACACAATCACACCAGCAACGAGCCCCGCAGGGGGTGTTCCCAGGTTCCGGGGCTGGCTGCAGGGGCCGGGCTCTCGGGGCAGGTGAGCA